AAGGCTGAATAGGAGTGTTTCTGGTGACAAACGGAAGAAAGAGGTGACAAGAACAGCACAAAGAACAAAATCAAGGTGCCTTGTGGTCTGAGGCTCAGAAAGCAATCGAATGTGGAAGGGCTTAGTGAGTGTGAGTGTGCATGTGTGTGCGTGTGAGTGTGCATGTGTGTGCGTGTGTGTGTGAGTGTGCATGTGTGTGCGTGTGCGAGTGTGCACGGGGGGAGGGGGCGCTGGCGAGACGTGAGGCTAGAGAGGTGAAACAGCGGGGTCAGGAAGCGCCTTGTCTGTCCAGCTCAGGAGTTGGGCTTCACCCTTCAGGCGGGTGGCAGCCTGAAGGTCGCTAAGCAGGAGGGTCTCCCGCCACCTCCGCCACTCAAGTACCTATGACGGTAATTGTCTTCGCAGAATGAGGGATCATAATGCTCACGATAGCACAGTCAATCAGGGAACAAAATTGAAATTATGCCTCTTTAAAAATAACTAGCATAACCCTAGAGACAGAAAGCCGAGTGAGGGGAAGGCGCGGCCCCTCGTCTCCCACCTGTGCTCATCCGCAGGCTGTCCGAGCTGTGGACGGCGCTGCAAGCCACATTCAAGGTCAAGACTGAACATACGGAGGGGATGGAAAGGTTTCTGAGCATATGGATGAAAGACAGCTAGGACTGAACTTAGATTTGTTAAAAATCAAAAAAATTTTAAATTGTTTCTGTAATTCAAGGTTTCTGGTTTTCTAGCCATGCAAATCATTGACTGATGGTAGAGTAATGGCCAGGAGCTGGTCAAGGAGCTTTGGCTCTACTGCCTCATTTCACTGCTGAGGAACTACAGAAACAGGTTGACATTAACTCCTTGTTGGGGTGAGAAACCGGCTCAGAGTCAGATTAGACAAATCCCCCAGGGCCTCACAATTAGCGAGTGTTTTTCTTAGCAGCTGTGCACTCCCATGCAACCCAATGTCCTTTAGAGAAGCAAGTGAGGTGGGGGACAGGTCTGATACTCGGAGGCTGGAAGGCTAGAACTGAGCACCTGGGAAGTGAAAGAACCCGGAGAGCACCTTGCGTGGCTTTTGGAGGTGCTTTGGCGCCCTCCTGTGGCAATTTGAAGGTGTCACGCGCCAAGGAGCGCGGAGGGTGCCGGGGGTTCAGAGATCACATAGGAGGCTGCTACACGGGACGCAAAAGGACACAGAAGCGGGCAAGGCAGGGGAAGGAGGTACAGAAAGAGCCGTCCTGGTGCTAGGTACCCACCAGTCTTGGTCTCCCACCTCTCTATGGACAACTGGGCTCTCGCTCTCTTAATTCAAGGAAGAGCATCAAACTATGATGTACACAGGAATTACCGGGGAGCTTGAGGCTGCAGAGTCTGGGCCCCAGCCCCTGAGTTTCTGATTATTAGTTCCGAAGGGGCTCCAGGATCTGCATTTTTAAGCCACACTCAAGTGATCGTGACTCAGGTGGTTCTTGGACCACATTTTCAAAAATCAAAATGAAACAGCAACAATACACTGCTTAAGATTTAGTTTTAAAAAAGCTGATACTTCAGCAGCAAACTAAAAAGATGGCTCCTCCATCCAGTTACTAAAAGAAGCCCAGAGGAATTCACAAATCACAGTCTTATTTATGCTCTGGCCTGGTTAAAGGTAATAGATACACAAACACACAAACCCCGACTATCCTAAAGTCCTAATTCTCAAAGATCAAGTTAAAACAGTCCAGTAGCATTCAAATCAGCAAGTTTACACTTGCAAAAGAGTGAATCCAGCACTTGGGCTCTTTGGAAGTGTACTCCTAGAGATGTGAATATGTGGCCACATGCAGAAAAAAAGTCTTCTCGGATAAAGTAAGGATGAGAGAGTCATTAAAAGCACACTGCATTAAGGTCTTTGAGAAGACTATGGTAAAGAAAGGTGTTTAACTCTTTTTAGCTTTACATACCTGGATTTTGTTGGATCATGTGACTTTTTTCTTTTTTGTTTTTGATAGATACTCATTAAGAGCCATGGCTGACTAGTTTTGGAAATACTACCTTAGAGCTACAGGAATGTAAACTAAAGATTTTTCTGGATTCTGAAAAAAAAAAAAAAACATCCCATATGTGGAAAAGACTAATCTTTTTGACAAGTAGTGCTGGGACTTCTAGATGTCCCCTTGCAGAAGATTGAGAACCCTACCTCACACCATATACACAAATTAACTCAAAATGAATCAAAGACTTAAACGTAAGAGCTACAACTAGGAAACTGTTAGAAGAAGAGTTTTTGTGACTTCCCTAGCCTGAGCCCTGGACTCTCAGACACTGTTTCCCTGTCTCTGTGGAAGCCCATCCAGCACCTCCTTCTTCCCCAGGTAACAGTCCAAGAACCAGGAGTCAGGCAGGAAGGAAATCCTGTGCTCAGAAATGTGTTTGGTCCCCAGAGTATGTTGTGCCCAAGTAATTATAAGACGAGGTCCCTGACCTTAGAATTCCCCACCTTATTGAGCAAATAAGACCCACCCAGATAACAGGCAATACCAAGCAACATAAAATTAAGTGTTTAATTGTGTTGTATGACCAATATTACATTAAATGTTAAAATTTAACATTTTATGTTAAAATTATACATTTTATGTTACAATTATAGTTAAAATTATGTTAAAATTATATTTTGTAAAGAATACGGAAGCTAATGAGACATTCACATAGGAGGTAAGCTGAATTTTTTTGCGGGGGGGAGAAAGGCACAAACCATTTATATGTTCCTCAAGTTATGCTAGACTGTATTTCAACTCTTTCTGCCTCCCTCAGTTCTTCAGATGACCAGGAGAAATCAGGCTTCTCAAGTCACCTGGGATGCCTGTAAAAATGCCGGTTTCTGGCACCCCCTCATCTACTGAACCCAATCTGTGAGGGCAGGGCCCCCAAATCTGCATTTTGAACAAACATGACCTTGCTTAATACACGCCTTCTGGAATCAATTCTAGGCTTACAGAGATGCGAAGGCAGGGCGTCAGTAAATATTCAGTCAGTAAATATTTATCAAGCTTTTACCATGTGCAGGGCCTGCAGATGGGAGCAGCCAGAAACACACGATCTGGACCCTCGCAGAGTTTATAGTGTGGTGGGGAAGGTGGTTTACTGAACAAGTCATGGTGTGATGCTGTCTTAGTTCATTTTTGTGTTGCTACAAAGGAATCCCCGAGGCTGGGTAATTTTAAAAGAAAAGAGATCCTTGGAGACCTACAGCCTCAGTATCGCTTGAGAACTTGTCAGAAATGCAAATTCTCAGGCCCTGCCACTGATCTGCTGAATCAAACTCTGGGAATGGGGCCCAGTGATCTGTGTGAAGTAAGATCTCCGGGTGATTCTGATACACGCTGGAGTTGAACTACTAACCTACCATCCACCTGCCTCACCTGAGACCATTACATGGTTAGAAGGTCCAAACCACAGAGGCTCTGTAAGGTAAGGATGGTTGCAAAAGACTCTTTGCAGAGACTTGAAGTTACTGCCCACAAAACAATGAGATGCTTAGGGTTAGATGGCGTGCACCATTCTAAAAAGTTCTTTCCCTGAACGCTGTGTAGGTTTTGGAGGCAAGTCAGCTGGTCTGCCCAGGATTCTGTGTGTCTGCTGTAAGTATATTGTTGTGTGTGAAATAGATTTCAAATTCCAGCCTGTATGAGTGAATGGACTCTGTAGAAGGAAAGAGAGTGGGCCTGGGAGGGTGATTCAATGACTAAATTCACTATTTCTTGGGGTTATTATATGCCACCAATGGGCTAGTTCTATGAAGGAAAGAGACAAAGAACAAAAACAACTGCGTACGTGCGTGTGCACGTATATATATGCATACATATATGTATGTAGCATACACTCTGCCCCCCATATTTTAAATTTCTTTCTGGAAATTCAGTTAATTGCATGCCTTAGTCCCTGGCATATCTTCACTGTCCATGTGAGGCCCCTCTCTGGGATGTGTGAAAGTATGTGTGTCCTTTTATTTTCATATCCCACTCTCTTTTCCCTCTCACATTCAAATGTACCTTTTTTGTTTGTATCTGTGCTTGCAAAACATGTATTGTTTTATGTGCATGCCCAGACCTGTGGAGTTTGCTGATTTCTGTGGTGTAAATATTCCCACCATGGCTGATCCGAAGCTATGAATGTGATGTCACCGAGTGGCATTGGGAGAGATGCATTCACCTGCAGAGTTGACTGGCGGGAGCCGGTGGAGCTGGCTGCAGCCCTCCATTGTTGGTGCTGATTGAAGTTCTGGACTACACCGGCCACTCTGGTGTCCTGTCGACATCGTATGTTTTCATAGGTTGAATTTTTTTTTACCCCATCTATTTCCACCTTGCTTGGTATCCTGGGCCAGCTTAGCTTGTTTTATAGGCAAGGATATTGGAATACTTAGAACAGCTGAAGGGTTTTATTAGTGGTCAATAACCAGAACAGCATGCACGTGGAGGGTTTCCTGCTCTTAATAAAACCAGATTATAACACTTTGGTGGAAAATGCATGAAAACTGGTACTTTAATAGTTCTATGTCATCACTTGGAGGTTCTGGGGCAGCTGAGTGAGCTGTGAGCATAAACAGCCTCCTGGTGAAATTCCTGGATGCCTAATCCTCAGAGAGCAGTAATTCCACGCTCATTAAAATATAGCCTGAGGCCTTCTTGACCTCAAGGTGTGATCACAAACTCAGAGGTAGCCTCTGGAGTGTGACTCGTTCCCCTTCCCTACGTGGAGGATTTGTTTCCATGGAGAAGGGCTCCATTTTCCTGCGGAAGTCATAATGGGCTAGACATGATCTGGAAGAGAAATATGCAGCCCAGCGCTCCTGGGCTGGGAAAAGATGGCTGGGATCTCGGGGTAGGCAGCGGACAAAGGATAAATGTAGAAACCAGCTTTTTATAAGGGGTGGATTTAGTGAAATGTAATTCTTTCCTTAAAGCTGGGTTTATAGAGGGCCTGTCCCCTTCCCGTCCCCTCCCCATTCCCCCTAAGGTCCTTACCCCCTTGTGCTACACTGGAAACCTTTGTGTGGGGGAGGGGAAGGTCCCACTATGGCCCTATAAGGGGTTCATCTTCCTCTTTTGAGGAAAGGGGGGGAGGAGCCTGTGTCAGGTGGAGTCCCACAGAGGCATTTTGTGGTCTGAGACGTCAATACCATGAGCAGAGCCACCAAATAACAAGATTTACTGGCCATTTGAGAGTGGGTTGATTTATAGTTTGGGGGAACAAAAATTGAAATGGGTTATTACAAATATGTGCTTCAACTCCAACAGAAAACCATATACATGGTCATTGCCATACAACTTTATTCCTAAACACCTCAAACCCTCTTCTGATAGTTTTTAATCCATCCTCATCTCTTTTCAGACACACAATTGACCATGGGAAACCCCCATGTGAGAAATGTGTGAACCTGCAGGTGAGCCCAAGTTTAAGAAAGCCCTGATACCAACTTGCAGACTTCGTTTAATGATCATGAGTATTGCAAAAAGACACATTTGTTTACAATATGATTTGAGTGTTGATAAAGATCAATTTTCACCTTACGATATTTCCAGAAATATTTGTAATGTAAAGGAAGGCACATTGGCGCTTTCAGTGAATTTAGACTCCTAACCCCAAGTCCCAAAAGCATCAGCCCATGACCTAAGAATAAACCTCCATAGAACGTTAACAGTTTCCTGCCTCTGCTCCGGTAACACTTCCATCTTTTACTTAACTCAAAGTAATTACCTGTTGGTCATGCTGATGTCATCAGATTATAGGAGAGAGAGAACAATCAACACTTCAGAGGTGGAAAGGACTCTTGAGTCCCTCCCTGTCATGAAACTGATTAAGACATCAAGGTGGAAAGCAGAGAAGAACTTGCCTGAGATGGTAGAAGCTCATTTATGGCACAGCTGGGGTGGAACCCATCCTCTTGCCTTCCAGTCTAATAAACTATGAGTATAGAGTCTAAACTAACCATATTTTGGATAAGTGGGCATCTCAGAACAGAGAGCTTCCTGAATGGTGACTACGTACACATTTCCTAGTGTTGGAGGGGAGAGTCACAGAATAGACAAAAGGGAAGGTGAAGGCCACTGTCTGGGACCCTGGACGGCTGAAGGCTGGGTTTACAGTGGTGTGTTTTGGAAAGGGAGACTTAGGAGACATCGTAGGCCTGGTACTTTGTTATGGTCGATGCCCTTCTGTTTCTCTCCTGGGACAGGTAGTAGAGACGGTTGGCCTCCGGGTAGGTGACTTTGCTGAGCGGGAGCTTGTAGATGGCGGGGTTGTTGGTCGTCAGGAGCAGGAAGGTGAGTGCGGAGAGGCAGAAGGGCCAGGTGCAGGTTGGTAATCCAAACTGGGGGAGGGGAACACAAGAGAAGCCTTGGTTACATCAGATGCTCATGCTTGTTTAATCAGCCCTTATCAATCACCTGCCTCCCTGGGTGAAGGAGGGGATGCGTTGTGGACATTGATGAAGATACTTAATTGATGACCAATATAAATAAAAGCATGCTAGGGTCTCAGTCTGTATTATAACGGGTGAGTACACACTTCAAAATGCAGCCATTGGAACCCTAATTAATATGCCTTACATAGAAGTTAATATGCCTTATATAGAAGTCATAAAGGTATAATAATACGCCTTTTGTAGAGGGCATGTTTTGTCTTGAGGTGTCTGGCGAGGCTGTACTTCTAACTCTAGGAACTATGGCCATCCCATGCCTTCTCCCCTCAGGCCCTGCTGGAGGACTGTCTTTGTTTTTATTTTATTTTTTTTATTTCTTTATTTTTTTTCTATTTTTAGTTGGCCAATTATTTTTTTTTTCTATTTTTAGTAGAGATGGGGTCTAACTCTTGCTCAGGCTGGTCTCGAACTCCTGAGCTCAAACAATCCACCCACCTCTGCCTCCCAGAGTGCTAGGATCACAGGCGTGAGCCACTGCGCCCGGCCCATTTTGGCAGCCATTTTGTAGCTCATGACCATTTTCTCTTTGGTCATACCTGATTGGACCAGAGATCAGCACCTGACTCAAACACAGCTTCCCATAGGCAGGTGACCTGGGCCAGTAGAATCCCTCTTTAGAGAATTTGAACTAAGAGGCACAGAGACTGTGTCTGTAGGACTCTTGAACTGAAAGGACTGGAGAACAAACCAGGGATGGGTGACCATTTGGGTCTGTGTGCAGCAGAAGAAACCCTTCGCTGAGAGACACCAGGAAAGTGAACAGATGTATACAGAGAGGCAAAGGCGTGATGTCCTCAGCCCAGGAAGCTGGAGCTGGAGCGTAGCTGCCTATCTTCTCAAGGGCTCTCCCATCCCCAGCTCCATTTTTCGTGGTGTTGACCTGTTTTTTATTCCTTGAGATGCTCTGAAGTGTTTTAATACTCCTCCCCATTCTCCATTGGAGATAGCTTGAGTGGATAGTTCGCTCACAATGAATTCAGTTATGAGGCAGATCAAATTGTGCCCCTTCTTCTTAAAACATCATTTTATCATAAGCAGTAAAAACCTCATGTAAAACCGTGGGAGTGACAATGCCAGTCACGTATGTGTCCAGAGATGGCGCTGTTGGGTGGGTCTCGGGGGAAGAACAACGACAGCCTGGTAGCAGAACTGAGGCTGTGAGGGGTGTCCATGAGTGAAAAATTCCACTCGACAAGGCTTTCCAAAGCCCTGCTAAGGATGGCACAGGTGTGTGGGAAGCACCCTTGGGAGTCCCACAGTGAGAAGAATGTGGGTCTGGAGTTCCGCAGACCCAGATCCTAATCTCAGCTCTGACCACCTTGTTATGGTCATTTAATCTCTCTGAGACCTGTTTCCTCAATAGTAAAATACTGATAATAATACCTACTCGGAGTTGGTACCTAGTACATGCTAAGCACTCAATAAATGGTCCTCACTACATGGTCATTACCGCCAAACAGATGGTGGCATTGTTGAAGACATGGGGCTGGTACCTTGCCCCAGAAAGGCCCATGACACAAGTTTATTGGATGGACGACTGGGTGAACGATTGGGTGGATTGGGTGCAGGAAGAGAGGGTGAAGGCTGGAGCAGACAGGAGCCTCAGAGGCTGTACTGCATGCTCTTGTCACCTCTCGGTGTTTCTGATGGCCAGCCCTTCAGCCCAGCTCTACTATGCCCTGTCAGGGAGGCTCACGACCTTAGGGCTTCCTTCATCCAGTATTCCTTGAGCACCTACTATGTGCTGGGCACTGTAACAGATGCTAGAGATAAAGATAAGAATTACAGGGCCCCTGTTCTGAGGGAGAACATGGGCTCAAAATGGAAGAGACCAATGAGTACCAGACTTGTCACAAAATATTATGCCAAGTGCTTAGCGGAGCTGTGTATAAATGCAAGGGGGCCCAGAAGAGGGACTTGGTCCACTGGGGGAGACAGGATAGTACTAGGGAAGGGTAATTATACTTCTTAGAAAATATCTTCCTATGTTAAGTCCAAAGGATCCCTTTTCACTAGAGGTGCGGGAGGGATTTAGACAGGTGTGAGTAGAACTCGTATCTCATCCCCACGTGGGATGTGCCCTTGTACCCTTATCTAAGAAGGGGAGGCATTGACTGCAAGCTGAACCCTGAGCACTCTGCGTTGTGCCTGGGGCTGGCCCCATGGCTCTCCCTGGCCTCACATGTCACTGTTCGCTGGGGCCCAGACGAGGCAGGGTTCTCAGACTGCCGCTCATGCCTGCATGTCCCCAGCTTTAGCTTCTCTGACTCAGCTGGGGCTTGACACCCTCCTTCCCACCTGAAGCCTTTGCTAGTGGTGCCACGACCTCCATCCAACATCCCATTTGCTATGGGAGACACAAAGATATACACTGGCTCACTAGCTAGTTGGGCATACACACAAAGTAAATAACAAAGATTTAAAAATAGTTTCAGAGGATGATACAATAGAAAGGAGTTTGATTTACAAGATCATGCTCTTCAAACTGTCCTTCTATAAGAAGCTCCTGGCCCACCCACAAGCGGATTTGATTGACCAAGAGTTGATGTTGAAGCTTTTGAGACCTATTTTGTCTAGCAGGTGCAGAGGTGAGTAATGTGATTGAAAACAAGGGAGATGAACCGGGGTAGGGTTCCTGGAGGAGGGGTTTTGAGCAGGGTTTGGGAAACGGAGAGGACACCAGGAAGGGAGTTGTGGGCACACTGTCGGCCCACGTTGACTCACCACAGATAACACGTTAGCCAGGGCAGCACCCAGGTAGGCCGCAAACAGTGCTGGAAAAAGAACCAACGAGAAACAGACCAGTAACTATATAACAATGCCTCAAGCTTGGTCTACATATACTTTCCCTACATGTTTTATGCCATGAATGTTATCTCTCAGATTAAAAAAAAAATCGAGTTGTATTTCCATTTCTTGGCAGCTTTAAAAATGTTAAATTCCATGCAAATGCCAGCCCAGTGAAGACAGCAGATGAACTTTGTTAAAAGGGGCCAGGATTTAGCTGTTATGGTCCTCTTGGGTCTCACCACCTTGCATGGCAGTAAAGGAACATTTAACAGCATAAACCATAAATGAAAATTTTACTATACGGCAAAGGCAAGCGTATCCCCAGAACTCCCTACTGGAATATTTCATCTCAGGTTATTAACATAATACGGGTTTCTAGGGAGGAGCAGCATTCCGTAAGCTTGAGGAAGACCAAACGTGCCCACTGCCTTGTCTTCTAGGCTCTGGGGAGGGCACGGCCAGGCTGGCAGCTGGGAAGAGCCATGCGCCGGCAAAGGGGAGAGGCTGTTAAAATGGGCCAGCATGATTGGCCTTTGCTTCTGACCCCATCTCCATCGTGCCCAGGGTATTCACAACAGCTGGCCTTTATCAGAGAATCCCTGTGTGCCCAGCAAGTGGCAATGCAGACCACACCCTCCTGCCTTCCCACAACGTGAGCTCTGTTACCGTCTTCATTTCACAAAGGAGAAAACCGAGGCTCAGAGAGGTTAAATGACTGTTTTGCCTGTCTTTCAACTGGAGAAGTCCCTACTGTTTTAGAGGTGGCGGTTCAAGATGGAAGAGTAGGCGAGATTAAAGACTGAGTTATATGAAGCGGGGTCTGGGGGCGTCAGCAGGTTTCACGGGTCACACCCGACAGCTTATTTCTCTGATCCTGACAACACTCTGAGTTGGGCACGGTTAATATCGGGCACTGGGAGTTCAGGTGACTTGCCCAGGATTTCATGGCTAACTGCCTAAGAGCGCACACCTGGCTCCAGGAGTGTACTCTTAGGCAGCTTCTCAGATCTGAGGTTGGAGAAGAGGGGCAGATGGGGGTGGGTGCAAACCAAGCACCACAAGGCCTCAGAACGCAGGGAGCTATAAGGCCAGAGTGGACTCTGGGCCCAGCCTACGAACAGTGGGAGACACGGACTCCACCCACCTTCCCTGGGACCCACAGCCAAAGGATTTGTTCTCACTGTCCTTTTCCCCACTGTTATTTTATCGGCTTTGGTCTGTGACTAGCAGGAAAATCATCTGAAAACCTTGCGTGTGTGTATGTGGTCATACGGCCTGCAGCGTGGGGAGAGGGTAGGGAGGACAGAAGGACAGGAAGGAGGGGCAACCGTCTGTCCCAGAGGACGTGCAGGGCATGCTGTGGGGGGATAGGTCTTCCAGACCAGACGCTAGGCCACTTGGCCTGTCTTGTCCATCGCTGGACAGAAAAAAGACCTAACTATTCTGGGCCTGGAGTTTGTCACCTAGTGCTGATGTCAGGAAACAACGTGGTACGCTACAAGGAGCACAGACTTTCCATAGTTGGGCAAACCTGACTTTGGACAATTTATTTAGCTTTCTTTAGCCTCAGTTCTCCATCTGTGAAATGGGGGTAGTAGTGGCATCCACACACTTTACAGCAGTGTAGTGAGGATTAAATGAGATGATCCATACCAAGATTCATAACCATGGTGATACTGCTGATTTTGGATGTGGTAATTCTCAGTTGTGCTTAGATGTTCAACAGCACACCTGGCCTCTACCTGCTAGATGCCCTCTAGTAGCACTCTCCCCTCTTCCCCCTGGGTATGACATGCAGAAATGTCATGGGACACTGCCAAATGTCCCCAGGGAAGGGGGAAATCACCTTTGGTTGAGGACCATCAGGGTAACATCTGACATAAGTTGGGCATTTTAAACTTCTTTGTTATAGAATGTGGCTATTCCTTAATGAATCAGCAGAAATTGGAGGTGGCTGCCAGGGATATTCTGCAATGCCATTTCCAGGCTGGTGTCCCAGATGTCTTTGGCCTCTGAGACTCTGGACAGAATCACAATTGTAGGCCCTCCATGCAGCCACCCATGCCCTCCCTCAGCCTCCCTGCGCTGACCCTGCCTGGAGTTTGTGGACCATCGAGAGAGCGTGGAGCAGGCACAGTAGTCTCTGCCCTGAATGCTTCAAAAATCTTCAGGACCCCTGGACTTCTAATTTATAATGTTCATATTTTTTAAAAAATAGAATTAAGGCCCAAACCGATTTAATAATATAAATGATTACTGATTTTAAAGATTATCTGTGAACGCTTAGAATTTTTGTCATTGGATCTTTTTATGGAAGGAAGTAACTAGGCATGGGTCTAGTTTCAGGCCATGGAAAAAATGCTGGCCCGTTAAAAAAATCAAAGTTGATTTCAACTAAAATATTCACCATGACGTTTATTCACGCACCTGGAAAGTAGCATTGATAGGAGACAACCCACGAACAACCCGACCCCCGCCACCTGACACTGTGTATTCAGTGAAAACAGTTTTTCATGCATTCATCACTGAATAGCCATTGCAGACAGTTTTAAACAAAAACCCTTTCATAATGCAAACAGTTCCCGCCATTTATGTTTGTGGGAGCAGCAGGATCCTCCCAGGGTGACTTTTTATTGCAGGCGTGGGTTGAGGTCGGAAGGGAATACCTACCGCAGGTGATGGCGAGCAGGTGCGTCTGCCAGGTGAGGACGTAGAACATGCCCCCGATGGCGATGCAGGCGAGCGTGCTGTTGAAGCCGCACAGGCCGAAGTAGATGCTGTCAAAGGGTGTCGCGATGGTGAGCGCTGCAGCAGAAGGCAGGCGTCAGCGTTGGGTCTGGGGCTCTCGCACGCTCACCTGCCCACCCTGAAACCCGCCGCAGTCCTTGAAGCCCAGAACCGGCTATCCTCTTAAGTACTTATACAGAAAGGACTTCTGATTCTATTCACTGAAAAACATTTACAGGGAATGAATGGCCACAGAGGCCTGTGAAGATGAGCAGCTGAGCTGGTACGGGTTGAAGAGACTTTTTGAGTAAGGACTCTGAATTCTCATTGGAACAGTCCACAGAATATCCTTCTCCAGCCAAGAAAGACCCCTCCTCCTTCACTGATACCTTAATGTTCTCTACTGGAGAACAAATCTTTCTCCATTGTCATTGGAGGTGACTTAAAAGGTGACTTAAAATATACATGTGCCTGGAAGAAACCTCTCCCAAACTTTAAATTTATACTAAAGTGTAAATGACTAATACCAAAGCCTTTTGTGAGGACAGCTTTTGCCCAGGGAAGCGTGGGGGAGCTAGTACCAAAAGTGGAGGAAAAGGGTAAAACAGAAGGAAGAAAAGTTTACAGGAATCAGCAAGTGGAGCGTTGAAGACATATGTCACCATTTTCTTTGGAGCTAGTCGCAGGCACTAACATCCTCATGACCCATTAACGGGGAAGTGACAACACAGACCTGCTAACATCCCCATGGTGGATCCAATGGCTGCATGCAAGCAAATAAGAGGCGAAGAGATGAACAGAGCGATGAGGAAAATGCCTCCGGTCCAGGGGTTATCGCAGCCGTACACTTGTCCGATTCCAACAGGGATGGCTCTCAAAAGCTGCAGTAGGTACAACAGGATCACAGGCTTATTGTGGAGACAATACAGACAGCTTGAACCTTGGCTGCAAAAGATTGAACACCAAACTCGCTACACTAATGTCTTGCAACAGGTTTCCAAGATATTCCTACTCAAATAGGTTAACTCTAAAAAGAACAAAGCCATATTAATTTAAATTATATTATCTTGATCTTGAGTTCTTAGAACACCAACAGGTTAGGATGTCGAGTTTCCTTTATTCAGAAACACGAGTGTGAGGCATTTATCCCCCAGGGAAGAGAAACGGAAGACCTTTCAAATTAGGGTGTCATTCACTAGAAAGGTAATATCTGTCTGATCGAAGTTGGGGTTTAGAAACCTTCTTGTATTTTTTTTTAAAGCTGAAAAGATGATCAGAAGGCTAAATGTTAGATAAAAACCGGTCCTTTCTGTCCCCAAGAATGACACATCTGGGGCGCGGTGGCATTAGTCCTGCAGTCTGGGTGAGCGGTGGGACTAGCATCTGCAGAAGGGCCCGGAGAAGGTAGCACCGTCCCGCGCCTGCTTTTCTAATGACGCACCCGCGGGACACCCTGCTGGACTCCACCCTCCATGTGTCACCGGGGCTGCTGGGGCCTGCGCGTGAATGAAAAGGCACTTGAGAAAGTCTGGCGCCGTGTGGGCCCTGGCATAGGTGCCCTGGCATTTGGGAAAAGGATCCTAGAAACGCAGGCTTCCCTAGCAGCAGGGACTGGGTCCTGCATCATCTTGGAGGGTTTGGCCAAAGGCCCTTAAACGAGGAAGGTGCCCAAGGGAGGAGGCTCCGGGCCACGTGCACGTGCTGGCTGGGGGTGCCTTGCCCTTGGGTAGGAAGCCGAGGAGAGGTGGCGTTCTGGGGGGAGTTTGTGCACATGTTACCCAAGGCAGCTCTCTCAGCCCAGGTCTTTTGAGAGGACTCTGCCCCCGGGAGGTGGCAGGGGAAGGAGGCCCTGGAGCCCAGGCCCTCACGCCACAGGCCACAGACACAGGACGGGGCCTTAGCAGGCCCTTTGGGCTCGGTCTCCTGTCACCCACAACAGAGAACAGAACGAGGCCTCCGGCCTTGCCCTGCAGGGGAAAGGGGACAGGTGAGAGTGTGACAGAGTGCCAGCAGCCAGTCACACCCTCCAGGGGGTCCTCTTCTGTGTCACAAGAGCAGAGGCACCAACCCATGGGGACTCAAATTGCTGGGCATTTTCGACCCTTTCTCTGACGTTCATCACTTATTTCCCAGAAACTTGAGCCTTTCATTATACCTGTCAAAAAGACAAAACTTACAAATCATTATCATATTCCATTCAGTTGGCCAAGAAGTTATTACTTAAAGAACAGCCACCAAAAATGGAGTTTTCTTTCCTGGAACTTTGGGAGGGGGGGAGGGAGGGAGGGAGGTGGGGGTGGTGGGGTTGGGGTGGGGTGAGGGTGGGCGGGGAGGGATGTCTAAAGTGTTTGTATGTGATTATCCAGTTCTTTTTTTTTTTAATTCCAAAATATCTTTCCAATTGAAAACATGGCACGGAGAATGCAGTATCTCAAGCTTGAGTTTTCTAACACCATCTCCCCCAGCATGCTACTTAGAGCAATTTTGTCTCGAAAAGGTATCAATTGGGTAAACACACCAGGAATTGGAAGCCTAAAGAGCTGAATTGCCAACATAGCAATTCTCTCGGCCTGGCCTGGGAAGGTCCCCACCCACGCACAGCAATCAACCAAGGTGGGGCTGACACAAACGTTTCTCTTCCTAAATAATGATGCTTCTTAGTGCAAATGCAGGGATCTTTCCGTGCTGATGCCTACTATGGAATGCCAAGAGAAGCGAGGCATCGGTATTTCTGAGAAAGTTCCTTCAACAAGCCCGAGTGGCTTTGTGGTCGGAAGATGAATTGCTAATAATGAAGTTTCAGAGCCAGCGCCAGACCGTGGGGCCCCTTGGCAATACAGAAAGTAGGAGGGCCCTGGCGAAAATGCGCCTGATTAGGTAAAGCAACAAATAGGCACATTTCTCTGTGCTGACTTTATGCCAGGAGTGTAGCTTCTTACTCATGATCTTGACGGACCTCCAGAGGTCAGCATTATTATGTACAGAACACTTGTAAAGAACTTTAAGAGCTCTGTTGTGTATGTTTGCTAATGGAGGAACACCTGTGCTTTAAAATGGAAACAAGCCTCAAAGAGGTAGGAACAGTGACTTCGCAAGCCAATAAATAAATGGTAGCATGACGTGTCCGTCTTTAAAGATTCAGTGTGATCGAATGAAAGAAAATACACAGTGTAAGCCTGTGGGCTAAATGCATTAAAACTAAAGCAACAAAAAGGCTTTTGAAAAATGGAAAAAGACAAAGAACCTGGGCCTGGAATTCTAGATTTGACTTTGCCCCTCCCTAATTCACTGTGTGACCTCAGGTGGGTCTCTTAACCTAGGCTCAGGTTCGTCCTCTGTGCCACCACTGCATGGGACTGAAATAGCCTTTCTAGCTGTCAGAATGAGAAAGGAGGGTAGAATGCCTTGCACTGTGTACTTGTTAATATTATTACTCGTGGACGTTTCTGGTATGCACAATAACCGATGCCACTTTAATGTCTAGTTTGGACAGACACTGCCCGTTCTCCTCCCAGGATACCTACCAAGGGCACCTGGACCTCCGCCCAGGTGATGTTGGGCACCGAGGACACGGGCTGCAGCAGGGTCGTGGGGAAGAAGAGGTTGTAGTGGCCTGTGGCCGCCAGGTACAGGGTCACGGCGATGTTGAATGGCAGCGTGAAGACTGGGAGGTCCCACTTGCTGAAGATGGTACCCAGGGCGCTGGACAGGACGGGGCTGATGGCAGAAGCACGGGAGACACCGGTCAGGAGGCTGCCTGGCCCTGACACTAGACTGTGCAGCAGTGGGGGCTCCCTGCACCTTCCCAGAGAAAAGCATCCTCCCTCCTCCTCCCTGCACCGGGCACGGGGACAGGGCAGGATGTCCAGACTCGACTTCAGAAGGAGGGCGTCTGGGAGAAGTTTTAAGGCAGGGAGTCCCAGAACTTCCTTGAGGCGTCGTACAGCTGCATGCCCAGGCAAGAGGAGAGAGGGCAGGTTGTGGGAGCAGAGGGGATGGAATCACATTCATTCATTCATTCAACAAACACTTGTTGAATGGCCACGAGCCGCTAGCCTTGTGGCCAGAGTGCGCTGCGTTTTCCGGACAGGAGGGAGGAGCCAGTGCCCTGAGGGCTCTGCCCATGCTGGGCCTTTAGCCTACTCTAGGGAGGTGGTGCGGGCCGGGTCTGGAGTCCCAAGGATGGGTAAAATACGGGGAAGTGGGAGGAATGAGAAGATTTCTAGAAACTACGAGACCCTGCAGTGCATCTCTTAACCTCAGTTTCTTGCTCTGTGCTCTGGCAGGGGGCGAGACCAACAACTCTTTTAGCTCTTAAGAAAAAAAAAAAAAAAGTAAAGGGTGGTAGCTAATGGGACATTGTATACAGGTGACCTGGCATAGTCTGTCACTGTGCGACCTTAGTGATGGCAAGCTAAGTAAATGCTGCTTTAACATTGAGCTCGGACAGTCTGTCACAGGCTTGGGATAGAAAGGTTGGTGGCCCCCGATCTGAACCCACAAGCTCAAAAGCAAACTCACCAGGACATGGACATGACGATGACGGGGAGCAACAGCCACCAGTAATAGTCGCCCTTGTCCGAGAACACAGCCATGAGCAGCCCCACCAGCACCCCGTTGTAGCCGTGAAGTCCTGCCGCGATGGCTGACCTGGGGGCAAGGGGGCGGGCGGAGTGTGGATTTCCCCAGGGCTTTTTAAGTTTTTCTTCCAAGTCAAGACTTTTCTCACTTGGGGCCCAGCCACACACACCTTTAACCAGACCATCCTTCTGGGAGAAGGGAGGGAAAACATGAACCCTATGAACCCTTTGTATTTCCCTACACAATGTGTCCTCACTATGAAAAAATAACCAGGGAATAGTCGCTTTTAGTTATCAGCGTCCTTATTCTGAAGGGTTTCTGAGCTGGGAGGAGGGAGGATGGCCCCCGCAGGGAGCGACCTCTTGGCCTCGTGCTGGGACCCTTAGCCCCTGGGACTTACCTGTCCTGACTGAGGATGAGGGCTGCCAAGGTGGACATGATGGTGCCCAGGCAGCCCGAGATGGCCCACCAGGGGTTCTGGACAAAGAGGCCGAGCACAATGAGGGTGCCGCTAAGCGGGTTGTTCACAAACATCACCTGGGACATGCCCCGGAGGACCCAGTCAATAAACTGGAACACGGGGGACTTGTCTGCAATGGAAGCAGGGCGGGAAGTCAGCAAGTGCTCAGCGTGGGGCAGGGGGAGGATGCGAGGGAATCTGGGTGTCCGAAGTGTGTGTGCAGGGAGCCAGCCACTGCTGCCTCCTGCCACCGAAGACGGTAAAGAACCCTCCAGGAGAGCATCTGACAGCCCAGAAAACTCCTGACATCCCCTGCCAGCCAGATGTGGTCATTAGGTGGATTTTCTGGCAGTATGGAGCAGGCGCCCTGAGCTGTCACTGTCAGTGCCTCTTTTTGGTAGTGCCATGCACAGAGTGCATCAAACCCATGGCCCAAGCTCTGGGAAGATGGCTAGAGAACCAGTTAGCATGGTAGGCATAGTTCTCCCATGAACCATCCAGAGGGCATTTTTTTCTAGAATGCTGGCTCTAGAATCCCAATGTGAAAAATGTCCGAGCTCGGAACTGTTATGTTCAGAAATGAGAAGTCACACTCTTATATGCACTGGTATTTACAGCCCTAGAAACTTCATGTCTGCTCTAGAGCACAACTCCCAGCTTCTCCAAAAGACCAGAGAAACAGAGCCCAGTCTGGTCCATAGGGAACCCCCTCTACCACCCTCCCTGGCAATGCATTTTCTGGGGATGGCTGGAGGTGCCCTCTTTGGGGTCAGGGAGGGTCAGCTCATGCAGGACTTCACCTTTGAGTCCCTCTCCACACTCCTTCATCTCTCCCGTGATGTAGCTGAGGGCTTTGCTGATCCTTTTCCCACCGGCAGCCATGGAACTCCGAATCCAGGAAGTCTTGGAAATGTTTGTTTCCACCTTTATCTCAGAGCTCCCCTCCATGGTGTCCAGCTCCTGCCCGGGACGAGAGAGGGGCAACAATCTCCCACATTCTGTAGTTCTCATACCGAGAAGTCACATCTGTAGTCACTTGGGGACCGAGCTAAGAGTTTCCTTTGGTATTTAGTTAAATCGCTATTCAATCATCTTCCTGTTTCCATAGATGAGAATATCTTTTGTTTGACATGTGACCTCATTCAATACAGGCCACCACCACAAGGTACAGCAAGACAACGTCTTTACCTTCATTCTGTGGATGAGGACTCAGGCAGGCAGAAGTTCTCATGTGCAAAGGTCAAGGTCAAACAGTTGAGTTGAGACATAACCACAGATTTTTGGAGTCTTTTTTTATTTTTTAAATACCATTACTTTCACTATATGACACCTTTCCAGAAATCATTTTCCCTCCAGCATGTTTAATCTTTAACTGCCCATAAGCATAAAGGTATGAAATTGAATACATGAAGATTCTGTTTTTGTTTTATTTTTTTTTTAAAGATTCTGTTTTTGAAAGTTGGCACTTGCTTATTTCCTAAATGCTTGAATCCTGGATTTAGAGGAAGCCTGATAATAAATAATTTAAATAAAAGGAACACGAAAGCTTACAAAGTAAACTGTGAAAAATAGGCATTTTTATCCCAGGTGATAACATTTCTGAAAATACGAATTCAAGTAACGTTTGCCTAAATCAGAGGACATCTTTTATGGATCTCGGCTCCCTCATGTGCCGCAGGCTTTGTGCCTGCAGGGCACTGTCCCCAATGCGGCCCACGCGGTACTCACCAGCAGCTCGACCGTGGGCTTCCGGTACTGATAGGGAAACGGGTCTTTGGTTTGTCTCTCCTGGTGTTCGCCCCTTCCAAACCCTGCAGTGAGAAGGCAAGAGCCTGGGTTAGGACACCTCAGGTTTGGTGCCTTAGCAGCTAATTTCATGAGGGTCTCAAGTTAGATTATTTGGTATTTTTTCTTCCTCCTGAGGAAGAGCAGAATCCTGGAGACTTGCAGCTGGAAGGCTCCTTCTTTCTTTTATTGGTCGTGGACCCATTGGGGCCCTCCTTTTGGGAAAAACGTCCATCTTCATGTAAAGTGGCATTTTACAGGGAATTTAGGGAGTTCAAGGATTACACTGACTTTTAATTAAGAAGCCATGATTTAGCTCAACTGCTATATTTTTTAGATGAGGAAACAGCAGCCCAGAGGGACAGTGACCTGCACAGGGTCCCTGAATCTAGGTTCTCTCTCCTAGAGCACAAGGAGAACTTGTGGATGCATGAAGAAAGACTCTTGACACCTCTCGTTTCCTCCTCACAAAGTATTAAGCTGCCTGCGCCATGCAAGATCTGTAAGATCTGTGTTTGAATTTGGCCATGACTCTCCCCAGGCTGTTCTTGGTCTTTTTTTTTTTTTTCCCCTTTTTCAATGCATTCTAGTAGTAACTGCAGGTTGGATTAGGACAAGTATGATCATGTAGTCACTTGTAACAGATTTTTGGTACGTCCTTGTAATTCTGGAAAACTCTTGTAATGGGGGTCTAAACGTATCTTTTATTATTACAGGTAATTTATTTATAGAGATGATCCATCTCAGTAGGGTTTTGTGTGTCATGAAGGCAGCTCAGGGCCCTGGAAGTTTCCGTCTCGATGCTTTGGTTCCCTCTGGTGGTCAAGTGTGAGGATGGCAGGCTGGGCTCTGACCGCCCCACGGACCCGCCGCCTCTGTCTGAAGCAACCCGCAGCCTGCCAGCGCCTTGGCGATCCTGACTTCCAGCTCCCAGGCCCCTTAGCATGGGGCTTTTCACTGCGTCCTCCCCACCCCAGCCCTGGCCACTGCCATGATAGGATGTCAGGAACGAGTTGTTAACCTTTTGAGGCAAGCCGTGCTCTCTAACACACCGTGGCTGGGGACCCCTGTCAAAGACACACTCCTGGGCAAGAGGGACCTTAGGATACCTGCAGCGCCCCTTCCACCTTGTGTGTCTGCCCACAACCACTCCATGCTCCTTTCCCTGGCGTGGCTGACTTTTGGTACGAAATGATGACACTTAGATGAACTGGAGGAAGAAAGTCACTAATGCACCTTCTGGGTAGCACATGATTTGTAAAAAGTCCTCTAAGTTTTATCCCTGGCGGTGGCTGTCACCAGCTGTGTGATTCTGAGCAATTCTGCTCCCCTCTCTGGGCTTTGGGGACAGAATTAGATTACCTCTTGGTCCTAGCCCTTCACGAGGCTGCTCCAACCTTGCAGCTGCTTGGGGCAATCTCTCTAGACTTCTGTTTGCCACGACATATTCTCAGCTTCCAAATCCACATTTCTGGCTTCCCCATTTATTCAGCTTGAGCTGCCCCTGATCCCCCTCCTGGCCTTTGGAGCCCTTCCTGACCGTGGTGCTCTCTCTACCTGTGCCCTTGGCTGCCCCACCATTGCAGAAGGTGAGAACTTTTCATCTTTAGCCTCTGAGACCAGTGGTTTTGATTTGGTGGCAAATCAGAATCTCATGGGGAGCTTTAAAAGATGCTGATGCCCATGCAGGCTGCTCCCCAGATGAATTAGGTTAGGGTCTCTGGGGATGGGATGCAGGCGAGTCCAATGTGCAGCTGACTTGAGACTCCAGAAACCCCCTGCCTATCCACTGCCTGTCTGAGCTCCAGTCTGCCCTCCGACAAAGGGGACGTCAAGATAGACACTGGGAACTGTGGCTTAGGACAGGGGTCAGGTGCGAGAAGAATGAGCATGACTCTCGTAGGTCTCCCCACCATCCTGTGAAGTCAGTACTGTCGTTGTCCCTGTTTTATTAGAGAGTAGGAAGTGGGGGACCGAGGGCGAGGGGGAGGAGGGGCACACCTTTGCTCCTCTTCCGAATAGATGACCACTCGATGTGGAACACACTCTTGCTCTTGGGGAGCACGGCCTCCAAGCCCTCCTCGGCCTTCGGGCCCGCCGCCTCGGGTGGCTGTTCCCCACCACCACCTAGCCAGGGGCAAAATGAGACAAGTCAGTGTCCCACCTGGTCGGCACCCAGGAGAGCCAAACAGAGAGCTGGGAAAAATCACACACAGAAGCTAGAAATGAGACAGCAATGAAGCCGGAAGCTGGAGTTGTAATTGCATCAGCCCTAAAACACCCAACTTCTCCTTTCTCCCATTAAAACTGCCACTTCCTCTCTGCACAGTAACCTAAGTTAGATCCACGGCAGGAGCCGGTTGAGCCAGACTGCCTTATACCTCCAGCAAGGGACCACTCTGAGATCCACGTAACTGCCACTTGCACTGGTGTGAACAGGTGACAGCCAGTGCCTTGGACTCCATCCGTGGCGGGGAGTTTTAAAGCCAGCTGCATGACAGAGTGCTTTAAAAAATGTCTGCACCCTACCCAGACCAGTTTAAACATCAGAGTTTTTTAAAGCCCATGGTATTTAAAAGATGGCTCTAAAGTGCAGCTTGGGCTGAGAACTACTGATACTGATTCTTGCTACTCAAAGTGTGGTCCCTGGGCCAGCAGCAGCAGCATTGTCCAGGAACTTGTTAGAAATACGGCATCTCAGGCCCCAATCCAGACTGATGGAATCAGAATCTGCATTTCAACATGATCCTCCAGTGATTTTTATGCATATAAAATTTGGCATGTGTCAATCTATGGGAGCTAAGAGTCCTAAAGCTGTGATCAGCTGCAAGAAACCCTCTGTTGTAGCTTATCATCTTCAATTTCCACACTGTGGGGAGAGCAGAGCTCTCTTACCACTTGGGATCGGGTTCCTCAATGTGTAGTCTGAGAACCGACAGCATCAAATCACTTTGCTGGCTTGTCAAAGTGCATGCTCACCCCAGGTCTACTGGTTGGAGTATCTGGTAACCCCTGGGGTGTGCAGTTTTCACTTGCTCTGCTTGGGGTTCCAGTTCATACTAGAGTTAGATGCTGCAGTGGCTGCTTGCGGAAAACATTCACACTGTTACATTACATTTGCAACTTTCTAAATTAATCCACTTGGCCCTTTCAATTGTACCTTGAAAGTGATAGGATGGGCATTGTCACCAAAAGATGCAACATTAATGCTCGGAATGATTTCCGTAGCATCCTCGAGGGAGCCTTGTGACTCTCAGCTCCCAATTCTTTTCTCTGCATCTTTGCTCCTCAGAGTCTGGTTCATGGACCAGCATTGTGGATGTCATAGGGAGCTTGCTAGGAACACAGAATATCAGTCCCCACCCAGATCCGCAGAATTGGGATCTGCTTTTGACAAGATCCCCAGCTGACTAGTCTGCACATTAAAGCTCAAAGGCACTGGTGCACATTACACACTGCTCCTGTAGAAACCACTTTAGCAAAGCTGGGAGTACAGCAGGGCCAACAACCAGAGAGTGCATGGGGCATGCACGAGCAAGGAAAGAGATCTTGTCTGCACTTGCAGACTGAAAGATAACACATGTGACCTTATCCTTTCTTTCTGGCTTAGGTTGAAGCATCCTGTCCATGGGGCAGTGTTGAGCCATAACTCCTGAGGCTTGGCAGTGCCCCTCAACTCTGTATCTCAGAGACACCTGGAATGTCAGCTTTCCCTGGGACCCCTCTGCAGACAGGGTTCGTGCAGGACTAGAATTGAGGGAGTTTCATTGCATCACTTGACTAAGCAGGGCATTCTCCCACAGTGCCAATCCCCAGTGCACATCTGCCAGGGTGGAAAGGCAATTCTGCCAGCCCACTGTTTCCTGTTCCTCATATGCCAAGTGCCAACCACCCTAGCCTCCCTCTTGGCAGAGCCATACTTTGATCATCATCAACTCAGAACAGGATGGGAGCTTTAAGATCACAGTCCAACTCCCTTGTCCCGAGCAGTCAGTTCGCACAAGTCACATAGTTCATTAGTCGTGGCAAAGCCAGGATTTGCACCTGGGTCTCTTGACTCCCAACTCACTGCTCTTTCTACCCCAACGCTGCACTGCACTGCCTCTTTGGTGCAAGAAAGGTGCTTTCCTTTTAGTCCGAAACCTGGCTTCAGACCTGGATTTCGGAGGCCATGACAAATGCCGTTTACTAACCTGTGCTATTGTCCATACATACAAAGAAGGTGTTTCCGTTTGACAAACCAAGGGAACATTTACCTGGAACTTTTGGAAATAGAAAAAGGAAAGTTGTTGGTTGTAAAGATAACCCAGGTTTTTTCGCTGAGGAGTCAGCCACGGCAACACAGGTAGAGAGGGCTGGGCTTGCTGATGGAGATCTTCGGTGGGTGGTAGGCGATTGCCCTGGTAGAGTCCCTGGCTGCAGAAGGCTCAGCCTCCACTCCCTGGATCACACTTAGAAGCCCAGATTTTGTACTATGTGTTCCTAGAGTTGATGGCCCAGCCATGAAAAACAGAAGAAAGCACTTTTGTCATGTGGCCAAGACTGCAGGAGGGCAGCAGCCCCTCCAAGATGTGCAGCCAAGAGTTGAGCATGAAAGTGGGGGACAGATGCCACAAAGAAGATTGGAGATAAAACAGCAACTTCGCAAGGCTATGAAAACACTTAAAGCAAAGGTGATAGCAATTTGTCCTGTGGGACAAATCCTCAGGACTTCCATAAGGGCTAAAGACAATTTCAAGAACATTATGAAGATGTCTATCAAATGCTCTAGAAATGAGACTTACCACTGCTGTGGTGGGGAAAAAAGAAAACAGTAACACTGGCTGGGAACCAGATCAGAGAGTGGAAGTGTATAAATGGTGATTACAATCGTCCGCTAACTGTACCAACTAACAAGAAACCCAGAAGTGCTACAAGGGCGCCTAGAAGAACTTGGCTAATGAGAAAGAAGAAAAGAGGGCATTGACGATGAAGATCTGGCTCTATATGATTTATTTTGGTCACCAAGATGCCACTTAGGTCCTTTTCATCTGGCTGCAAAACCCTAAGCTGTTTGGAGGTGGGCCTAGGAGTTTTCTAGCGCAAGAGTAAATTTTGTTCACAATAAGCACTAAGTAAGTACCTTAATCAGTTTTTTCCCTTTTCAACACCCCCTTGCCCCCACATCATGGCGCATGTAGAAAAATAAATAGCACTTGAGTCCTGTAGCTCCCACCTGTCCCATGCCTACCCGGTGTAGGAGCCACCACTCTCCCCTCCCCTAACAAGGCTTGTTAAGAATCCCAATGCACGTAGCTTCACCCTGGGGGCCCTTCAGGACCATTTCAGGGGCATAGTCCCTGCCGTCGAGGAATGCCACTATCCCTTGTTTGAACAGACAAAAGTCCAATGATGCTTTCCTCCCATCAACTCAGAGAAGGAAAGAACAGTTATGAGCCATAATGATTTGTTCAGAAATACTTTTTCTGGGTGGTAGTGATCCGAAAGTACTTGTGCCTCTAGTGACTTCTACTGCATAGACAATGCCAACCAAATATCAGTGGTAAAAAAGGATTTCATGGAAGAGCCCACCCACAAGATAAAACTTCGAAGCATATTACAGTTTCTTTGAGTGGAACAAAACAAGCCCAAGCCATAGATGACATCTTTCAGAAGGGAAAAAATGAACTAGTCTATCTTTCTGAAAACTCAACCTTTACCCAAATAGGTCCATGCCCATACACTTTCTACAAGTTGTCTTTCTCAGGTTTTAGACGGGTTTTACTCCCTCTCGGAGGTGGATCGGTGCTGTCCATCTGTCACTTGCAATGTCCAACATACGGAGCATCTGGAAGCCACCATTAGGAGCCATCTGTCATCCTCCTCCAGCCCCCTGGGTCCCCTGTTCCTTGGACCTGCTGTTTTGGACGCACCCGCATGCCACAAGACAATGTCTCAACTGCAACAGCAGAGCGACTTTCTTTGAAGTGACACATCATATACAATTCTACTTTTCTTTCTACAACCAGTTCTCCATGAATATGCTCTGGCCACAATTTGGACGGATGTTCCCCCCTCGTGGAACTTGAGCTTTACACTCTGACTGGTAGTTTCCGAGCTACTCTGTGTGTGTGTGACATGGGTGCATGTGGGTGGTCAGTGGGGGTGCTTCTTTCTCCTTCCGAGTTGTGTTTAGTTGAAATTTTCAAAGATCATTCTACAAACTCTCAAAGACATTGAATATTAGAATTGGAAAAGGCTTTTGAGTTGTCTAGTCCAACCCTCTCATTTTACAGATTTGGAAACCGAGGCCTAGAGAAATGGATCGACTTGCCCGAGGCCACACAGCTACTGGCAGAGCTGAGAGTAGATATTACATAGGCCTGGTCTGCCTCTTGTCTTGCAATCTAAGATTTATCTCCCTAAACCTTACTCCCCATTAGGGATTTGTTTTTGGTCTATCAACTCAACTCTGCTTTTGGATGTAATGGCCTAATTAGGTATTCTAGAATTCATTTCTCTTTAAACTGAGATTCCCTTTGCTCAAGAAAAAAACCCAACATCTTCTTGAACCTTTCCTGAGCCTTCCTATCTGGACAGGGAGGTGGTTTGAGAGGCAGGTGGGGTAAAGAGGAAGGCTGGGTCCACAGGAACACTTGGAGATAAATTACTTGGAAGCCTCAACTTCTTAATCAAGTCGCCAAATTTTTAATTTATTTTTTTATTTTTTAAGGAGGTGGGGTATGAGTCACTGTGACCCTGGAAGAAGCAAGACTCATCCTTATACTAAATGCTTGAAGTGTTCTCTTCTCCTTCCACACACAGCTCACTAGTGCCAGTGGTCTCCCCTAGATTTTGTTAGTTTTGGTGTTTTTGGCTCACTCCCTGGGGAGGACATCAATAAGCATAAATGCGTTGATACCTCATTTAACCTCATGATACCTCATGATAACATAAATGAGGTTAAAGAGAGTGCAAAGATCAGAGCACCCCATCTATAACTGGGGTGACCCCTGACTGATTTTGCTCCAGAATAACTTTGCACTCTCTTTCCACTGTTCCTGCCCCAGCCCGTGCCCTCAGACTTGTATATCCATAGCATCAGGCTCCCCGATTTTAATCTCTCCTCTTTCAATCCATTCTGTGCT